TGCACCAGGGTCTGCTGGCACAATATAATTTTCCATAGAGTCTGTATCCTATTCTGAGTGAGTGGAATCTGAAATGCTTGTGAGTAGTCATACATGGTACAACTATTTGTCTCTTCCTGTCTGGAGGAAAGAAAAGGGATGAAAACTAAAGATATATGGAAAAAATTAGTCTAATGGACTAACAGGCCTCACGAACACCAGCCTACGTGTCCCTAAGACCAGAAGAACTAGATGGTGCCCCGCTACCAATTGCTTTGAAACAGGTCACGTTGTAGGTCCTGGATGGAGACATGGGGAAATAGGAAACAAAACATAAAATTACGAGGCCTGTGGGTCAGATATAGACTGATGTAACCTTCGGGACTATGGACCTTGGTCACCCATTGGGTCTGGACCTAATCTCATGCTTGCGGATCAATTTTCCGTTAAAAAACAGGGATATAAGGAGAACAATAATGCTACTGAGGTATACACACCTTAGAACAATCGACCATTTAGGATTTACTCAAGGGCAAAATCCAAAACGTCTAGGAAAAGAAGGAGGAGTAGAGACAGGAAGCACCGAGGAGGTGGGATGGGTGATGTTGGATTGGGAGGACTGCAGTGACGGAGACGATAGAGATCATGTGAGAACTGCTGGATGTAAAACCAAGGCTCTGCTCCGTAAACCCAATTCACGATGACATGCCTTTGTTTTGTTTTGTTAAAAAGGACCAGAATTCTCTGTATGCTCTTGGAACATAGGTATGGTTCTGATTCATAGATGGCAGCTCAAAAGAAGAGTAGGCAGCTTTATTCTTGCCTCTTTATTTTAAGTTAACAAGCTAGATTCCTTAAAAGGTCACTCTGAATTTGTCCTAATGAAGAATCTTGTCTGGATTATTTAGGCTGGATACTTAGGAATTTTTCTACAATTGTTTTAGAATAACTAGATGGTGGGGGATAAAAGGATAGGTAGGAATAGTCTCCAGTGAGTTGGGTAGTTTGGAGTCCAGTAAAAAGAATCAGTCTCTTTGTTTCAGTTTTAGCAATTTTGCGGGCCATGATCTGTGTTGTATTTCATCTCATTTGAGTCAGGCACATCAGCAAACGACAGTCCCCAAGCTCTGTTCCAGCCCCTTTAGTAAGGTTGGTGCTACTTGAGCAGGCAGCTCTTCTTCAGTTTTACTTTGAAATCCTTCCAACCGGAGGGCATCATCTTCTGGCCCAATAGCAAACCATCTTTCCATACTGCTATCCCCATGGTTTTCTGAAGCTGCCTCTTCGGAAGATGTCTGTCGTAGTCTGGAGTGTCCACTGAAGCATGTCCACCTTGGCTGAGCCTGCTGGTACGTGAAATCCCAGTGACATATCTTCCAGCATCACAGCACGTGAAATCCACCACACGGTGACAAACCGATAAATCGATGGGAGACACTGAAGCAGAGGGAGGCTAAATGCTATGCCTGTGGGACTCAAAGCTGCTTGGTGGCAAAGCAATGTCTCTGTCTCAAAAGGCACCAGCTTCCTAGAAATAAGGTGGACATCATCACCTCTCTCTTAACCACACTGTTGCTGTTTCACATGTTCTCACAAGGCTGGCCTCATTAACCATCCCCCACTATGCTTTTGAAAGTAATTTTCTAATGGTAGGCGGACTCCCCTCCCCCCTGTGCATCTGCGCCTTCGCAGCGATGATTGATGACTGAGCCTGGATCCTGAAGATGCTGGCAGCATCTGCAGCAACCGGATCGCACAGAAAAAAATCAACGAGGATGTCGCTAGTTAATGTCATTAGTTAAGGAAGGGACTCTTTTCGTCCCCCAGAGAATGCTGGCCCCTGCACGTGAGACTCTTGGACACGACGAAGAGAGACCAGCATAGGAATTCAAATAAGGTGGGCCAATGGGCATGTCAAGCCACCAGAGCCATGGGAGGTCCAGACTTAACCGATTTCAAATGAAATGATATTCTAGAATCACACCATTTTATTACAGTTAATGCAGCAAAGGGTTAATTAAAAGCTGTACCTCTAGCCTCTATAGAAAGGTTGTTCCTCCCTTGCCAATAGATGACTGCTTATGTTCCCAGTTTATTTCTCCTGTCCTGAAGATTTTTTTATTGCCTGCTAAACTAAGTTTTCTCTAAATTGCTCAAGAAGAAAAACACCCCAAATTGCTTATTCTATCAAAACTGGCTCCCATATTGGCCTATATTATATTGACCAAAATGAAATCCAGTTATCCAGGCCATCAAAGTTGATAATGTGGGAGCAAGGTGCTTGATAAGATTTTTTAAAATCCTCTAGAGTCACAGATGGTCATTACTTAGCCTGTCAATCTTATATAGTCAGTGGGATTTTCTTTACCCCTTATCGGATGATTATATTTAGTTATATTGTCTGTGTTATTATCACATAAGCACTGAGAGGAGAGAAAATATATCCAACCCACTTCATTGGAGGATTGCCAAGTGGAAAGGATGCTAATGTTCATCATGATGACATGTTAACCCCCTGCATTCTGGTGCAGTTGACTCTCCCCAACCAAGCTCCTAGCTTTCTATCATCCCGGTTCCTTGGTAACTACTGCAAGATGTTAGCTAGTGAGGCCTGGTGCGAGAGCAAAAATTGGTGGTCCAAAGGTAGAATTCTTGGCATCCATGCAAGAGACCTGGTTTTAATTTCTGGTCATGCTTATGCCTGGTCATTACCAGTCTGTCATGGATGTTGCTATGATGCTAAATAGGTTTCAACAGAGTTTCTACACTAATGTAGACTTGAAGAAAGTCTGGTGATCTACTTCCAAAAACCAGCTAATACAATCCAGCACAGGTAAATCTATAGAGGCAGTAAGCAGACTAATGGTTCCTTGGAGTAGGGCATGAGCGATTGGGGGTGGGGTGGGGAATGGGGAGCTAATGATGAAGAGGATAAGAATGAAGAAAATGTTCTAAAACTGATTTTGGTGATGATTGTTCAACTCTTCTTGATGTGATCGAACTATTGAATTGTATGATATGAATTATATGCCAATAAAACCATTAAAATATATATTTTTAAAAAACCTTTAAAGAAATGCAAAGATAGAAATTCACAAGATCGGATTGTGACCAATAATTTACTTTCGTGACAGGGAACAGCAGTAGGAGTCAGCATTATTTTAAATTCATTGTGCTAATGAGTATTTGTGGTATGTATTATGGTTTAAATTTCTGAGGACTGAGTTTTCAGAAAGCTAGAGTTTACAATGGAAGCCCCCAATCCATTTATGATTGTCTGCATAAATTCAGCCTCCGTGGAATTCCTTCTGACTATTAATGAGAAGAGTGAATAGCTTTGCCTTAAGTTCATTAAGATCATGGGTTGCTGGCCTGGGGAGAAGAGGTATATTCTTGGGGACTCTCCTGGCTGTGCCCTTAGTGGAAATTGGGGTGCTAGGGTCTAGTGGTCCATGAGTCACATCCTGACTGCCTTGGTAGGTGGGTTGTGAAGCAATCTCCTAAACTCTTGAGTGCAACATAATGTACACATCGCAATCACGATCCCAGTCCCACTCTTGTCGTCTCCCCTGTAACTGTGCTGTATTGATCTGCCACCAATCACGTTTTTGTGACAGTCTCTGCCCCCACCCCCACCATGTCCTTTTCATGTCTCCAGATCTCTGAAAAGCCTTGGATGTCATTGTGATTAGGTGCTAATGGTCTCCCTGATCCGGGTATGTATTTTGGCTGGTCTCTTCCTATTAAGACTTAATAAATGTTCTTTTTAAATGACAAAGAACAAACAAAGCAAGCCTATGGATCACAGCAGTCCAATCCAAAATGGATCAGAGGGCTGGCAGAGGGCCGGCCAGGGGTTGGATCGGTTGTACATGGGTTTGCCATACACTGGGGGCTGCCTGGCAGCTCAAAACCACAAGCTGCCTCTAGTGCTCCCAAGGACATGGGTCTGCCAAAGCTTTCTCCCCATGACGCAATGCACAGTCCAGTCAAGTGACCTAGGTTGAAATTCTGACTCAGCCACTTTCTTGTCACGTGACCCCGTGTGATAATTGAATTTTCCTGAATCTCACTTTGTATGTTTCCACTTTGCACAACGAGAACAAGACTTTTTCTGTTTATTTCTTCCTCCATGGGGGGTCTATGTGGATGATATAAGAAGACAGCAGGGAAATGCTTTAAAGAATAGATGTGTTCTGTAAAAACATATTGAAGTCGTTGAGGAATTGGAGTGGGATGTGTGTGTGTGCTGTGTACATGTGTTGTGACACAAGAAAGTGCAAGTGGCTGGTAAGGAGGACACAGTCTTAATTCTGGTGATACAGTCGAAAAGCTCTCCACTCGTTACGCATTGGTCAATCCTTATGGCTACATTTTCAACACCTGCTTTGAATACCTCTTAGGAAAGCACTAGTAAGTTATCTTTAGTCCACCACATACTTCCTAAACAAAAGGAACGTATTTAGCTTTGAATGTTTATCTACAGATGGAAAACTTGGTTTAATTCCCCAGATAGCTGTAGTGTCATCAAGTTTATTGAGATATTTAATCTAAATTCTGTGTGCTGTCATTTAAGGCCATTATGTCTGCTTCTCTCTTCATCAGTTAATCTATATAATAGCTCTCTCTCCTGCTCCTTCCATCCTTTTATATTTCTGTGGACAATTACCACCCCAAATGCCTTCATTTTATGTCTGAGCCTGTTCTCTTTTGCTTGACTCACAGACCATCATTTGGAAATATTTATCACTTTTAGTTGGTCTCCTCTGAAATCTGAAACACATTTCATCCACCCATTTAAATTCAGGATCACGGGCCCTTGCCAGCCCTTGCTTTATGAATCAAGGAGAACGTTCTAGGCTAAACTGCCTTGCCATTCTCCTCTCAATGCATGTGCGTGGGTTCATCGTACGTTGGGGGCTGACTGGCAGCTCAAAACCACAAGCTGATTTTGCTCAGTGAAAACAGCACCAGGGGAGCAGGGAGCAGAAAGCCCCTTCCACGCGTGAAGGAACTCTTACCACAAAGACTTCACAGCAGATACAAAGGCCACTGTTCTTGGTAAAAGCGTGAGTTATGTCCAAGAGAGCTGGTCTTGTCATGGGTCCCCCTGTTAAGACGATGCACTGGGGCCTGGGAATGCAGAGAAGAAGGTGTGAGCAGTGACCATCGGCAAGAAGTGTGTGAGCCCAGAACCACCCCCAACTGTAAGTGGCAGGTTCAAGGTCAGGTCTGAAAGGCCTGGTGAAACGGGACAACTGTTCTCCTAATTAGTTCTCAGGTTGCCCTCCACAGTTTTTGAATCCTCTTGCCCGCTCTTCTTGCTCCCTTGGTGTCCTCATTGGCACTAAACGGATGAAGAATGACAAGCTGCTCTTGGGACTGCCCGATCTTATTTTTCCATTGGCACAACTTTTTGTGAGCTGCTAAGTCAACTCCAAGTCGCAGGGACCTTAGAAACAACAAGATGAAATGCTGCTCGGGCCTCTGCCATCCTCATGATCGTTGGTCATTATTGGTCCATCTCTAGACTCTGCGCTATCCCAAATTCCCAGCCCAACCTGTCCTTTCTAACTGGTACTTGCAGGATCTTTTTTTTTTTTTTAAACATTCTTACCAACATGTCTTTTGAGAGTCCATTCTACTCAGAATGAAAGGAGCGATTCAAGTGTTACTTCTGCTAAGAGAATTCAGTAAGGCACAAAGCCTTAAGCTGAATGTGTGTGTGTGTGTGTGTGTGTGTGTGTACATCTGAAGTCAACAGGCCACTCAGTCTTCTCCCTTCTTTCCCAGGAGGTGACACCTGGCAGGATGAGTGTACCCAGATGGAGATTGGCACAGCTCCAGTGGAAGGAAGAAACCGGAAGTGTTGTCATAAAAACTGTGGCAGATTCATATGGCTGTTGATTTTTTAGGCTATATCCATAAAGTTCAGAACTGCTCTAGTGTATCTGTCTCCCATAAAGGGAAGCTACCTCTATCATGAGCATCAACCAGATGGCCCGAGAGGGGAACCTTACCTGAAATTTTTCACGTGATCTTCCACCGTGGTGAGTTCCAAGGCATTGTCTAAAGCACTCACATAGGAAAGTGCCTGTGTAGACGAGCCCCAGTTCACATCTGCGGGTGGGAAAGGCAATTGGTATAATAAAGCTTTGACCTTTTCCTTGGGATACCTTCACTAATTTTTTCAAGTCATTTCCTCCTCTGAGTGTCCCTGGCTGTGTCCGTGGTGGACAAGATCCCGAATTAGAGAAAACAGGCTGTAGTGTTTCCTAGAAAACACTGTGAGTCCTTATGAAGGAGGCTTATCTCCAGCTACATCACAGACTGGAAAACTCCAGCCCTAGAAATCTTGGTTGGTTGGAGAGGCTGTTTGATGATTACCCAGGAATTGGGGAGCGGGTCTGCCCACGAATAACTTCAAAGACTTTTCACCGATTTTCCAGTTGAAAAGAACGGAGGCATTTCTGCATCGACAGCAGGTCATATCCATCTTCATATTCAGGGTAAGCATAGCTCAGAGTGTCTGGGAAAACAGTCAAGGTCCTGGGGGAAGCACTTCAGCTTGATCTTTTAGGAATCATCTTCATAATAAAGAATGTAAATACCACCAGTCCTCGTTTTTGTTTGTTTGTTTTTACAAATTAAGAATTTAAGGAGAAAGCTCCTGTCAATCAAGTACAGACCCACCCTGAAGAATAGACAGAACCTCCTCTCCTTATTTTGTTCAGAAAAAGGGTAATTTCTGTAGATATACAAGATTCATACTAATGAAGTGTGGATTATGAACCAGGCATTTAGTGTACCGTAGATCATTTTATTCTTATACAATCCAGACTAGCCAACCGGGTTTGTACAAAATGAACCACATGTCATCCATTATACCATGTTTTAAAAATAATTCATAATTCTAAGTGTAAAACCTAAATCACTCAGGCTTCTAGAATAAACAGGAGAAAAATCTTAGTAACCTTATATAGCAGAAAGAGATTTTATACAAGACACAAAAAGCCCTCTTACAAAGCAAAAAAATGGATATATATGACTTTATCAACATGAAAAAAATTCTGCTCTTTAAAAATAAACTGCAATGTAACAACGATGAAAAATACAACTTTCCTCTAGTTCCTAAATGTTTCCTCCCAGCTCCCACTATCATGACTCGAATTCTACCTTGCAAGTCTGGCTAGACCAGAGGATGTACACTGGTACAGATAGGACCTGGAAACACAAGTAATCCAGGGCAGATGATCGCTACAGGACCAGTGGTGTGAGTGGTGATACTGGGAGGGTAGAGGGAGAATGGGTTAGAAAGAGGGAACCGATTACAAGGATCTATATGTGACCTCCTCCCTGGGGGATGGACAACCAAAAAGTGGGTGAAGGGAGACATCAGACAGGGCAAGATATGACAAAATAACAATTTATAAATTATCAAGGGCTCATGAGGGAGGGGGGAGTAGGGAGTGAGGGGAAAAAATGAGGACCTAATGCTAGGGGTTTAAGTGGAGAGGAAATGTTTTGAGAATGATGAGGGCAATGAATGTACAAATGCGCTTTATACAATTGATGTGTGTACGGATTGTGATAAGAGTTATATGAGCCCCTAGTAAAATGATTTAAAAATAATAATAAATAAACTGTAAAGCACACGACAAGGCAAGCCACTGCTCGTGAGAAAATATTTGCAGAGCACATACACGCTAACAGATTTGTCTGCAATGTGTAAGGAACGCTCACAGCTCAGCAATGAGAAATCAAAACAACGTAACATTTTCAATGGGCAATTTTAACAGATGCTTCACCATAAAAGATCAATCAAACGGTCAGCATCATTAGTCACGAATTAAAACTAATATAAGATAGCACTGTACATGCATTAATAGGTCTAAGAAAAAGAAGCGAGCAGAAGACGATATAAAGTTTTGACAAGACAGTGGAGCAATCGGAGTGCCTTGTCCCTGGCTGGAGGAAATGCAAACTGGCACTGCTGACTTGGGGAAAGGCTCCGCAGTGTCAGGGGCGGGAGCTTCAAAAAAAGTCTCTGAGAAATGGAATGAAAAGATCGTGGGATTTTCCAGGAATGTTTTGAAGGCCCCTAATACAATCAGAAATAAGGCATGAGTTTACCCAAAGTCCTATAGGCGAAAGTTTACTGAAGCTTTATATACCACCACCAGGAACTGGAAGTGACCCAAATGTCCTTCAGCTGGCGAAGATATTAATTTTTAAAATATATTCCTGCAATGGAAGACAGCTCAGCCTTTTCTTCTGTGATTCTGGCTGGACCATAAGAATCTCCAACGTGTAGGTTAGTAGTCAGCCGCAGACATTTGTACCTTTCAGATTTGTTCGTATGACATGTAAGTTTCTCAATCATCTGGCCCCCAACTGCCGCACCTCCCCCTCCCCTACTGGCTTACCCGTCTCCCTTTCCCCCAGGACACAAGAACTCCATCTAGGCTGAAGGCCTGCGTGTTTCCCAAGTATGTCGTGATGTCATACACTCAGGTGCTTTTTTGACTTCACACGTGTTTATCCTTCTGCTTAGATTCTAGGCTGAATCAGGAAAGGATTAATTGGACAGAATCAGGAAAGGATATTTTAGGCCCTAGAATATCCTTTCCTGACTTGGTCCAATTAATCCCTAATTATATTTAAAGGGAAAAAAAAAACCTAAGTAAAAATGTTGCTTTTTCACTTGTTCACCAAATATGATCATGATCCACTCTATTCTTGACGCTCAGGACACATCCCATGATGTATGATGTTTGACTGGAAAGTTCTAATCAGAGTTAACCACTTTTTCCCTGGTTTTCAAGATTTGGTTCCTGTCACAATCCCAGTACTTATTACATTGTATTGCAATTAATTGTTAGACACGAGTCTGTGAACTCCATGTGGGCAGGGGCTGTATCTTTCTCATCAGCACACTGAGGGCAGAAGAGAGTATAAGGGGAGATTTATAGGGTTTGCTACCTTTTGCATGGACTTCAAAAAATCATGGAAAAATGGAATTGGACAACATTAAGATTTTCCCATGAACTTTTTGAAGTTCCCTTGTACACTGGTGAAAAGATCAGCTCCATTACATTCTGTTACTTTGGCAATTGATCAACTCTTGGCACCCCATTTTTTTCATCCAAAGAATGGGACAAATGATATCTAATTTGCAGCATTCTTGCGAAGGTTAAATGCATTCATACCCTGTAATACATATCATAAGTGTGCAACACGCTGCTATTAGATGACATGCTATCATGAACACCCGCCGTGAACAATATTAGCGGAATGATGTATGTTAGAAGGTGCTTTGCAAAACTCAACCACACAGTCCTGTTTCCTGTCTTACCTGGCTTCTTATATGTCACATAGATGTAGAGGAAGAACTCAATGACGTACGTGATGACAGCTGCCCACCAGTTGATGACAAACATGACTGCACAGCACAAGACAGCTCCAAAGAGAGACACCCACATGTTGTAAATTCCATAAGCAGGTCTCCATCCTGAAAGTTAAAAAATGTATCATGATGTCCGCAAGACACCTTTCCAAATCATTGCGAGCACCCCGCTGCAGGCAGTGGGTCTCTGTTTCCTGGTATGGAGAATCAGAATGTTTAGGTCAAGTTACGAAACCCAGTAGTTTTTCCTGGGATCTTGGCTTCCCGGTTTCTGTTTTGAAGGGACATTTAGAAAATGTTAATTCTCTAGAAAACATGCCATTCACGAAACTCCCTGCCCCCCTACCCCCATCCGATTGTCTTCCTGAAGTACCAGACCTCAGGAATCATCAGGAGTTAAAGAAGGCAGGTGGGATGGAAAGGGTAGAATCCAGCAGGTGGGGAGGAGGAACTGATTGGTGGTCTAACAAAGAGAAGGTAAGACAAAAAAGGTCTTATTTGTTCCCACGGAGAGGACAAAGCCCTAGAACCCTGTGAAGATGGGGCCTGACCTTTCAGAAGTAGGAAAATATGAGAAAAGATGGGGCTATTCTTCTAGTGATGGCTTCTTAAGCCCAATGCATGACGACTGCATGCAATTCACCCTGAAAATATGTCCCGTGGTTCATACCTGCATGGAGGTGTGCTTGTTTTGCTAGCTTTCTGCAATGAAAGAAGCTGGTAGGTAATAGGGTTAGGGTCTTAGGCACTGTGGGTGAAGCACATCCTAAACTCAAGAGTTGCCAAAATACAACAGTTTAAACATCTTCAGGAGCAATTTCCTAAATGGCCACAAGATGGAAATAGCACTTTAAGAATGTCAATGCAAAGGTCCTTATTTTTCTGATTCTGGCTTCTCTCTCTCTGTCTGTCTGTCTGTAAGAAAGAGAAGGGTGTTCTCTAGGTTCGTCTATCCATGTGTCTCGCTCTCTGTGCTTTTCAACTCTCCCTCGCTCTCCTTCCTTCCCCCATTCCTTTTTACTCTTTCCCATCTCTGTAGTTCATGTCCTTCTTCAAAACTGGCCACACCAGGCTATGGGAGGCACACATCTCTGTGATTGCATTGCTTGGTATTCTGTGACTGGAGAGTTCTGCTTCAAAACAACAATAATCAACTAGAAAGTAAAACATCTCCAGGACAGAATTATTACAAGGAATTAGTCCTCAATTATTCCTGGATCTGCATGGTGGCCCTTGGCAGACAGAGGTTCCCCTTCCATCCTTATTTTCTTTCCTTGCCAGCAGGTTTTCCCAAGGAGGCTTGAGCTTGTGGCTGGTCCCAAAGGTCATGAAATGTGTCCGTATCCTAGGTTACAATCATCATGGGGAAGACCTTTCTGAAGGTCAGTAATGATTCAGCTTGATTCTGGTGGGATGGCAGAAGAAATTCTATTGGCTAAAGAAAGCAAAGCAGAGTAGCAGGCTGACTAGGCAGAACAAGGTTTTGTGGTGGGAAATGCAGAGACGCTGTGCCTCGCAGCTAGAGGAGAGCACCGGGTCACTGGCATCAACGTGACAGTGCCCGACGTGACTCTGCATTGACTGCACTCAGCAGGTCATCCTGGGAACTACTTATCCTTCTCTTCTGCACCACGGGCAGGAAACAAATTGATAGTAAGGAAGTTTCAAATTTATACATTTATTCCACTTCTGTGGTCACTTTCACCCTGGAAATAAATAGTGGTGTTTTTCTACTGCTGAAATAAATGTGGTTTCTCTTGCAATGAATAATTTATTGCCACAGGAGAAAATTGACTTTACGGTTGGTCAAAAAGACCATGGCTTAAATGATTCTTTTTCTATTCCAGAAGTCATCCCCCAACCCTCCAAAATAAAGTGGATTACACTGCCTACTAGGATAGAAGGGAAACAGATAAACACAGCGTTGGCCCTTGACATGATCTTATTTCATTTTTGCGGAGAACCCTGCTTTGTTTGGACATATTTTGTTTTGGAATAGCACCTTACCTGGGGATTTGGCATACGAGGCATGGAAGCAGGAGAAATTAATAAGTGCGTAGGAGGCCAGGAAGAAGTTGGAGATGATGGGAGCAATGGTATTCAGTTCGGCTGTGGAAGAAGCAAAAGGGAGCATGTAGGTGTGAGTGATGAAATCACAGCTGGACAGCTGTGATCGCTTGGAAGCTTGGAGCACATAGCTAGCATCTGTCGATGTTTAAGAAGTTAGCGACTTTCCTTTGTGGCTGCATTCATTCTAGAATTTATTCTTAGCCAGGGTTTCATAAAGTAAGGAGCAGAGCACGTCTCCCAAATCAGCCAACTGACCCTCACCAGCTCTCCCTGTAGAAAAGTCAAGTATCAGTAGAGAGGATGTTTGGGGTGTGAGGCACCAGATCCTCTGTTCCTTTCCTGTTGTCGACCATCAAACGTCTCCGCAAGGCGACGGATTCATCAAATACCAGTGGGCCAGAGAATTCCAGTTGGAAATCTCTCTGTGTTCTCTCTCTTTCAGGACTCTGGCTCTTCATGATCCCTTTCTACATCTCTAGAGAGCTCTTCCTATCTTGGCTCAGCAAAAGAATGTTGCCACCCTGGCTCACCATCTAGTATGATCCAATCACGGCTGGATTGCTTATATTGTGATATAAGAAATATTACAGAGCCATTTCCTCTCACATAAAACTGAGACAGCTATCAACCTCATTAGGGCAAAGGCAGGTGGTGGCTGAGTGGAAGTCTAGCGCATGGATGCCAACAAAGAGGTAGGCACAATTGACCAGTTGCCACGCAGTCAATTTTGACTCAGGGTGATGCCCTGTGTCAAGGTTGAACGGGCCTCCACAGGGTTTTCAGTGGCTGATTGTTCATGGCTAGTTCACCAGATATTTCTTCTGAGGTGTTTTCCAGGTAGACCCAATACTCCAACCTTTGGGTTAGAAGCTAAACGCATCCAGAGACTCGGAGGCAAGCAATGGCTCAAAGAGTGTACTCTGAAGTGAACCCATGTTTTTTCATCAGAGAAAGATTTTTAACGATATCACATTTTATCAAATTGTATAGCATAAATATTAAAGATATAAAAGTTATAAAAGATGTCAACATTTGGGCTATTTGATCATTAAAAGAGGGCACAGGGCAATGTAGCTTTAAAAGTTAAATTGTAAAAGTGAGATGTCACTCTTTGTTTCAGTTTTTTTTTTAATCTAACCAGTTTAGTCATCTTTTCCCCTTGTCACCCATTGAGTCATAGTCATCCTAGCCCATCGCTCAGTTCCCTTCCTTCCCAGGGGCCCCCGGATGGGCCTGAGACTGTGCCCTGGAGAGAAGCCCTCGCCAATGGGCAGCCCTGGGCGGCGGAAGGCTCTCTCTGCCTGGCTGGAGGGATGATTATCCTTCGCCCTCCGCCTCTTTGCTTTGGATATGCTCACCGGAGAGATGGTCCCTGAGGAAGGAGTATGAAATGGACAGACCAAAGCTGTGAATGTGCCTCTTTGAGATTAGGAAGCTGTTTCTATGAGGCTCCGGGAGAGACAGCCAAGATTATAGCCCAGGGAAGTCGTTATCAAACTGGTCTGTTTCTAAATCTCTGAGAGCTTGCAAAACTGCCCAGGCCTTATCCCAGGCCGCTGACTCAACCATTCTGGGGTTGGGCCTGAACAAAATCTGCACTTTAACAAATACCTGAGTGGTTTTGATCTAGGTGGTCAATGGACTAAATTTTGGAGAAAGACTACCATAGCCAATACAATCCTCCTGCCAGTGGTTAGATCAGGAGAATACAGCAGCTGGGGATTTTGGTCTCAGAGGCATTCAACGAGTTGCAGGAAGGATTCGATTACATCTGGTAGGACGGATTTCTAACACCCAAATTCAAAGAAGAGATTCAAGTCCAAAGTCCACACAGAAGGATTTCTCATTTCCTTCCTAGACAGACTCCAATATTCCCAAGTGGACTATTAGACAGAAAACGGGTACTTTCTCAAGGCCTGTGGATTGTCAGGCTTCTTTGGCGATTTGAGAGAACAAGAAAATGACGCACCGATCAGAATGAACGCCATGGCGATAACGAAGGTGAGAAAGTATCCTCTCAGGGGCTCGTTGTTTTTCCCATATCCCTTTGCAAAGAACTGCAGGGCTTTGTAGATGTTGTCCTTGCACAGAGCCTAATGGGAAGGAAGAGGGGAAAGCCATCACGCACATCTTTGCACTGTCCTGCCCCCCCCCCCAGTGAGTCCAACAAGGCGATTTGGGCAAAGAAGAAGCGATACACAATAGGAGACACATTAGGTTATCATTCTTGATATTATTTGAATCGATCTTGAATGCTGGACAGACGTGGCACTGGAGCCAGATGCAAACATTAAACTGTTTTGGAAATGGATGGAAACTGATGGCCCAGGAGCGTGAGTAGTTCAGGGGGATCCATGGTGGGTGGAGCAGCCACAGAGAGAAACCTGTTCCCGTGGGGCTGACGTACCTGGAAGACCTTGGGTGCACTGACGAGGGAGGCCAGGGCTGACGAGAGGGTTGCCGAGAAGATCCCAGCAGTGATGAGCGGGCCAAACCCAGAGACCATGCTCATGACCTTGAGGGAGAGAGGTCAAAGGAAGGGGCCTCAGTTAGCCAACCATGACAAAGAAAAAGTAAAAGAAAAACAGCCAGGTCCTTATGCCAATCTCTCCCCTTCACATTTTCTGTGATCTGGAATCTGCTTGTTTGGCAAAACCAGATTTTTGCTTCCCCCCTTTCATCCTCCAGTTCACGAGATTTGCTTTTCCCAAATGGAAATGGCCTTATGCTGGTGTTGCTCCCTACTAAAAAAATAAAAGCTTGCCGCAGCACACACTGTTATTAAGGAGACTGGAAAAAAAATGGAGGAAGTACTTTCAAGGATTTTGAACGTTTTCCTCCTCTGTTCTGTATACACACCCATTTCTCTGATGATGGAGAATCCGATCCAGCTGAAAGTTTGACTATTTTTTTCTTTTGCTTTTTCTGTGCTCATTAAACATATTTTTAGGACGGAGACAAGATAAGGGTCTATCTGTGTAAGTCATATCTTGGAATCATGGCTTAGGCTAAGTTCATTTCTCTTGGTTGGTTGTTAAAACCGCCTCCATGACAAACGTGGTTCTCCCTCCGCTGCCCACTCATTCAGACCGATTAGAATCCTCCGAGGTCCTTACAACCTTTCCCGTTTCCCTGGTTCCTTCCCGCTTCCTCATTTGCACCCCCCATCCCCTGCCTCTCACACTCCCCTTCTCGCCACTGTTTTTTGGACACCCCAGTATCCCATCAGAGGCTTTCCCGAAACTCAGGCTCAAGGACAAAATGCAATCCAAGTGCTAACGAGTTTAGATTTCTCCTCTCCACGAGGACACCCTTGATGGGGAGACACACAGGGTCAGGTGGAAAACACGCTTGTGTGATGCAATTTATTCTGCCCCCCACACCATCCCCCCCTCCAAAATGTAAGAACAATGTTTGCCAGCACATACGCCTGGATGCATCCTCCCGCCCCCCC